CCCTTCAGGAGGAAACCACCGTGTCCCTCAACACCGTGGACAGCATTGAGAGCTTTGTGGCAGACATCAACAGTGGGCACTGGGACACGGTGCTGCAGGCCATACAGTCACTGAAGCTGCCCGACAAGACTCTCATCGACCTCTACGAGCAGGTAAGCAAGTGCAGGGTTTGTACAGACCGTGCTGCTCTATGTGAAAGCTTTGTCTGGTGTCTTCCACTTAACTCTTTCCTGATGCAGGTCTTTGTTTCTTGGTGCAGGTTGTGCTAGAGCTGATTGAGCTCCGGGAACTGGGTGCTGCTAGGTCTCTGCTGAGGCAAACAGATCCCATGATCATGCTGAAACAAACCCAGCCAGAGCGGTACATCCACCTGGAAAACCTCCTGGCCAGATCTTACTTTGATCCTCGTGAGGTATGTTACACTCCTAGAGGCCTCTCTTGCTATCCTACATGACCCCAGCATCAGTCCAAGCTGGTGATGGCTTGTGGCATCTCTTTTCCTGCCTCCCTAGGAGTGAGAATGTGTAGTTTAATGGTTTGACGTGTTCTTTGAACTGTCTGGGACATGATTTGTAAGACTTGACCCTGAGACAGTAGAGTAGTGGGTTAAAAGCATGCTGCAGGTGGGAGCTTGGGGGTTCATGCCTGTGTCTTGCCACAGGGTGACATATGTGCTTTCTTTTATTGTGTATGTGCACAAGAAAAGGTATATGTAAGTAGAAATACAGTTGCTTAGTAACGCTAATGACAAGGTTTGATTCTGACTGGTTATATCAGTTTGGTGTCTGTGGGAAAAGCATGTTACATTAATGGTTGGGCTTAACAATCTTAGAGGTCTCTTCCAGCCCTGGCAATTGCATAATTCTATAGCCTGAGCATTTCTAGGGTTGGTGTTACAGAGAAGAGCTGTTTTGGAGGCCTAATCTGGAAGGAGCTTCAATTCAGAGCTGCTGCTGTTTTCATGGAAAAACAGTGTGGGATAATCACCTCACAAAAATCACTTCTGTCTAGGCATACCCAGATGGGAGCAGCAAGGAGAAGCGCAGAGCTGCCATTGCACAAGCCTTAGCTGGAGAGGTCAGCGTGGTACCTCCGTCCCGTCTGATGGCATTGCTGGGGCAGGTAATTCCTCTCAGACTCTGTGTTTTGAATAAACTTCCAAGAAGGGCTGTGAGACATTTTCATTTTTAGCATGCCTCTTTGTAGGCAAATAGACAAGGGGTGATTTGAATTAACACAAGCTTGCACTCACTGAACGCGGAGTGAGAAGGGAGGGTGGGCATGGGTCATTCTCAGAGGGGATTATGTTCTGTGATGTGTGCTCACGAGTTGGGAAATGCAGTCTGGTAAATCCTGCCTCAAGGATCTGTTTGCATTGTATTAGTCTCAAGCTGTACAGGTGTATGGCTTGTAAGGGAGTAAGAAACTCTTGCTATACTGTGCTAATTAGAAGCTTTGAGGGAGATCCATGTTAACTGGTACCTAACGGTGTGTCTCAATTCCTGACAAGGCGCTGAAATGGCAGCAGCATCAGGGCCTGCTTCCTCCTGGGATGACAATTGACTTGTTCAGAGGCAAAGCAGCTGTGAAAGATGTAGAAGAGGAGAAGTTCCCCACGCAGCTGAGCAGGCATATTAAGGTGATTTAATGTGTTTTACTGTTGCTTGTTCCTTCCTGTCCTTTATCTTGGGACATAAGGATAAACGATCTCAATTATTCTGTTCTCTTTGTTGTAAATGATTTTCCCACTCCATTCTCTTTCCCCCCACCCTTCTTCTCCATTCTTTGTCTCATTGGGAGACTTTTCTGAGGGTGTGAAATGAGGTCTTTTAACAAGACTGGGTGCTTTGTGTATAAGATAAACATGTTAATTGTTCCTTCACAGTTCAGAATTAATGAGTATTCAGAAGAGGTTTGCATAGTCACCTTTATTTGTGCAAGGAAATACTCCTGTCTTAAACTTCTATGGGTGCATATCAGCTTTTGTAAACCACTTAAGGTTTGGTTATGAACAACTAGGGACTAGGTCTGCTAGTGTGATCAGTATCTCCTTTTTAAGCGTTTTATCATAGAGATTACAAAAGAGAAGAAAAACTGCTGTGATGTGTAGTCATCCTGCAGCACTCACAGTGTGGAAATAGGCAGTTGCTTCCTGTGAGGGCTTTCCAGCATCACCAGGCAGTTCTGTGCAGTGAGATGTTTGGTTCACTGTAGTAGCTCTACCAGTTCTCACAGTGAATGGAGATAATGTTTTTTAAAAATCATGAGTTGGAACTTGTGAAACCAGTTTGTGGTGTTCAGTGACAGCTTTCTAAAAATGCTTTATTAGAACTTGTTTTGTTTACCAAAGCTTGTTTTTAGTTTGACTAGCAAAGACTTTTTCTGTACTCAGTTGTCACTGTCACTTGTATTTAGAATTTTAAGGGTTGGATATAAAAACCCACGAAACATTCTCTGTGAAAACTGCACTGCTGAAACATCACTCCAAGTGAAGCAACTTGTACTGCTTCAGAAACTTCTGCTGTCTGCTAGGGATCTGTGATGGTTATGGGAAAGGTGTTTATTAACATACAGTTCACTGTAAAAACTGCTGCTGTAAGCACAGGGTGTTTGAAGTTTCACAGCTATTCGCAGACCAAAAAAGAGGGTTTTAGTTTTGCTGTTTTGAAAAATGCTATCCTGTATGTATTTACGGGGGTTTTGCAGCCCATCATTTTAGAAAGTACTGTGTTTTTACCATCAGAATGAGACCACAATTTTGTTTTAATGAGTCACTTCTTTTAAATGGCCTATTAAACTTTAGCTTATGTTCTTCTGTAAAACAGTTTGGGCAGAAGTCGCATGTGGAGTGTGCTCGGTTTTCCCCAGATGGGCAGTATCTGGTCACTGGCTCTGTCGATGGTTTCATTGAAGTGTGGAACTTCACTACTGGAAAGATTAGGAAGGTAAGTTACTCCTTATTTCATACGGATAGCTCATTTGCCAGAGCATCTGGATTTATTCTTTGAGGTTATGGTTGGTTTTGTTTCTCAGGGACTGTGAATCTGAAAAGGTTATCTGCTTTGCTGGTTCAGTTATGGGTCTGAAATATTTCTGTGGGTTTAATTGTTTGTTCTGTCATAGATTTCCTTCTTTTTTTGTCTTTCTGCATTGTCATTGTTGCCTTTAAAATGGCGACAATGGTGGTACTATGTATCACAAGACTGAAGTATGCTTGACAATAGGTTATAAAAGACAACTGAAATAAAACTGCTGCAGTACTGCATTTGCCCCAAAATAATTTCACTGGTTTCACTCCTTTGACTGGTGGATCTTCTGCTTTCATGTAGGATCTGAAGTACCAGGCACAGGATAACTTTATGATGATGGATGATGCAGTGCTGTGCATGTGCTTCAGCAGAGACACAGAAATGCTAGCGACTGGAGCACAGGATGGGAAGATCAAGGTACGGATCTCTTCGTACAATATGCTGGGGGAGATGATGACCAAAAAGATTAACTTGCAATTGGAGTAATGTTGCCACTCCATGTAAAAACAAATGAAGTTTATCAAGGCTCAGAAAAACATATGTATTGGCTCTGATGTTTAAGCTTCTGTGATCTCACAATAAAGTAACCACTTCTATTTCATTTGCTGTTTCGTCTTCAGGTGTGGAAAATCCAGAGTGGTCAGTGTCTGAGAAGATTTGAACGTGCACACAGTAAAGGTGTCACATGCCTCAGTTTCTCTAAAGACAGCAGCCAGATTCTTAGTGCTTCTTTTGATCAGACAATCAGGTAAATGAACTGGGGACATGTGAGCTACAGTGTGGATGAAAACAAAACGGTTTTTACATTAAGCAGTTAAACTTTGGAATATATGTTCTTTTGACATAGAGTTTGATCCTTTTGCATGGAGTTCTAATACTAACAGGAGAGCATGGCTGCTGAGGTTTGGAGAGGAACAGTTTGAAAGGTTGACCTTTCAACTTGCTTAAGTTAATTTTACCAGGGCTAGGGGTCAAGTCCTTCTGCTCTGCTGGCATTTGCATTGACTTTAAGTATTTTCTTTCTGGCAGACCCATAGCTTAAACAGTTATGTTGTGAGAACTCCTTTTGGAGTGGGAACAAGAGGAAGAAAATGTTTTCTGGGCATCTGTTGTTCCCAGCAGTCTCACAAAGAATACTAGGGTTCCAATCCTGCAAGGCCTGACTGGTGGACCTCGAGAGCTTTCAGAGCAGCAGTTACAATTTGTATCTGGAAATAGCAGTACAGCCTTTCCTTGTGCTGGTGTTTGTTCAATGTGTATCAGGGAAGGCTGAGACAGCTGGGCTTGGAGCCTGGAAAAAGACCTGGAGACAACTAGGTCCCTTCTTAGCATTCTGTCTCATCTAGAGGTAGTCACACACAAGACAATGCCAGATTCCTCTCAATTACATGGTTTCTCAAGGGAAACATTCCTTTTTTTTTTTAATTTTGAGAAAGCAGCAGTGCTTGGACAATGCTCAGAGTTGTCAGGTTGGGGGTAGGATCTCAACCCTTCCAGGCTTTTGTAGCTAAACAGGGAGGTTGATGTTACTTTGAGAAGAGCAGTGGTACAGAAGTCTTCTGAGGTCTCTTCTAAGCCTAAGTTATTTTCTGATGTATACCAAGGTTTTGGAATCTCTGTTAGAGAAAAATCATGTGGCTAGATGCTTTATACATGTGAAAAAAACCCTTCTTTCAGTCATGAGAAGGACATAGAAACAAGATGATTTTCCTCTTTTCTCCCAATTCCCATTTCTCCAGGCTGACTCTGCAGCTCTGCTTTTGGGCACAGGAATTCTTTCTGTATCTCATGCAACCATCCTTTGCTGTGTGTTCCCAGCACTCTGTTGGGATATGAGCTGTCATTTGTCTGGTTGGGCTTTTTTACCAGTCTGCATAGATCAATTTCCCAATGTCTGTGACATTCCTTTTGGGCATTGAAACTGTTCATGATGTTGAAAGCCCCAATGCAGATCTCAGGAAGTCAAGAATGGGAATTGAGTCTTTCTGCAAATTTTGGAATTGCTTTGGTGTGCAATCCAGATTGTAGTTTAACCAGTTGACTGATTGTCAACTCAGCTACAGGGGTTGGGTATAAGGTCTGTCTTCACAAAATCCTGGAAAGTACAGTCCTCATAAACTGGCTGAGCTACACTGAACAAACTTGGAACTACCTGACACTTCCATGTGTTGAGACTTACATGCACACAGTTACTGCAGCTTACCAGGTGTGCAGATGATCTGTTAAGCGATAGTATGTTAAAGCAATAGTTTGTTGTGGGGCAGGTATGAAAATGGTTGGGCTCACATCTGTGCTCACAGAAAGACCAGGCATAGACTATGAGATAGTTTAATTTAGGTGATACCTCTAGAGATCTCTAGTCCACTATGCTTCTTAAAGCAAATTTATTATGTAAAAGCATGTTAAGCAGTGATGTTAACCAAAGGTTACAAGTTTTCAGGCATTTCTGCCCCCCCCCCCTTTGTTTAATGATCGTTGCAGGGTGAGGGGAATTTGCTCACTTATTCGCATATGTGTTGTCTGACAGGATTCATGGTTTAAAATCTGGGAAAACTTTGAAGGAATTCCGTGGTCATTCTTCCTTCGTCAATGAAGCAACTTTTACCCAGGATGGCCACTACATTATCAGTGCATCCTCTGATGGCACAGTGAAGGTAAGACAGCATTTACCCTTTGCAAATCACACCTTTAGACTGCTGTTATCTTGAGTTGATGTGTTACAATTGTTTGATTGGAGAAGGACTTGGGGTATCCGCAGTAATGAGTCTACTTGTGACCTTTGCTGTGGAGTGGTGTAAATGAGAACTGATGACATTCCGTGCTGTGCTCAGTCTGTGGCAGAGGCTGATTCTGCTACATTTGTGAAAGTGGGGCATAAGCACAGTACTTATGTCTCGGTTTGAGAGACAGGTGTCTGCCAAAAAGGCAAGAGCCTCCCTTGGAATAGACAGATGCAGCCCCTCT